GCACCAACCCTAGAAGAAGAGAAGAGATGGGCAATGCCTACAGAGCACACACACCGGACCACCTCTGACAAAAATGGGAGCAACACTAGAGGACCTATCACAGGTGATTGCACACCCTTGGAGTTGATATGGAGAACTTGATGAACGACAAAGAAGACGGCTAAACCATGATAAGAAGTAGCAGCTGAGGAAGACGCCAAAACAGAGCACAAATGGGGCTCTCTGGTGTACGCGGGTACATTTGTTTCGAGCTTAGGGGCATTTTCAACAATTCAGATTGTTTTTTTTATCCCAATTAAGGACCATTGGGATTTCTAAATTTTACGGTCCCCAACTGGAATTAATGTCCTTAGGGGGTCCTTAATTGTCATTTTTCCTAAATTTAATTTGATGAGGGAGAGGGTAGAATGGTAATTGTATAAGGCTAAAATTACAAAAACAAACCCGTTCCATTTGCTTCAGCAAGTTCGAACCTTAAAACCCCTTAAATGAGTAGTTTACACACTTCCACTACACCAGCTTCACTTCTTAATATGTTTGTCTAAATCTTAATATAACTACCATTAAAACACCAACTTATATATTTACTTATTATTAATTTTTTTTTGGGCTATTACAGATTAGTACTGGAACAAGATGTTTGGGTAGTATAAACAAGAGGAAAACTCTCGCTCCTTCAAAGAAAACCCAAATGAGATATGGAAAACTTACCCCTAGCTAACTTTGCCAAACAGTCTTGCTAATTAAATACAATTTGTCTGTTTCCTTTGTTTTATATATTACCCTTCTTGAAAATGTAAATAAGAGGCTGATTGATTTAAGATTGAATAAGGACAGAAGTTTATCAGAACAGTAATATTTCACACCCAACAAACTATAAAGAACTTAACAGAATGTAACTTACGCCTTTTCGACCAAAAGTTTCTTTGCCTCGGCAACTATTTTGCCAATAACTCGTCTTTGATGTTCCCTAGAGAAAATAAGAGAAAAATAACACAATAAAAAATACTATTACGCAAAACGCAAGCAAGATAAATGATATAGAGGTTAAGTGTGTCCATTTCAATTCAATGTACTTGGGCTCAAACGGTGTTTTTCTATAATGTAAGCATCCCTAAATCATACCAAGTATATAATGGTACTCTTGTCAACCGACAGGAAAATTGAAAGAGGGTATATTGTGATTCACTTGGGTAAATTTTGTCCAGAATTATTTGAAGAAAAAATTATAGTTCCTTGATAAAAACTACTTTGGGATAAGGCTTGTTGTTGTTGATAAAAAATACTGGGGATATAAAACTTTTACGTTCTATCAAGCATATAAGAATGAGTATCATCAATATAAAATAAAAAAACTTATGACTACTCATTATTAATAAGTCATAAATAGTGGGTAACAATATCGAGTGTGGAATAAATTTTTCTTCTCAAAATCTCTCCCAGGAAAGAAAACTCTCATCCAAACATAGCAAAACTTGTTTTTCCTCTTATTTTCTCTCCCAGTTTTCTCGTTTGTCATGATTTCTCTCGTCCAAATAGAGCGCAAGTATCTTAACGAACTTTTCTTTCGAGCAGCAATCTAAAAAACTATAACGTATTTTGAGTTTTAAAGGTATAAAGAATACTCTGTTCAGTCCAAAAGATAAGTCTTCTCTTTTAGTATAAGCAACTTAGTAGTTGTAAATTTTTTTTCCATTTTACCCATTGTATTTATTAACCAGCTGGATTCTTGTATGAATTTATGATATTCTTTTCATTCATCATTGATATTTGAGACTATGGTTAAAAAAGGAGAATAAAGATTTTACTGGTATATACGGATTATTGTTGAGAACTGCTTATATTTTTTTTTTTGAAAAAATGTTCTTAACTAAGGGTAATTGTTGGTAAAAAAAAAAAACTAAGGGTGTAATTAGTATAATTTTTAATTGAGATATCCTATTAAATAAAAATAAATATGAAAAGAGTGTGTAACTTTAAAAATAATTAACTAACTTATTGAAGATATACATAATTCAATGAAAAGTATATTTTACTATTAACAAATAAAGAACTTGATTAGTTAAAAAAATGGGAAAATTTACGGTTGAGTCCCATAGAAGTGCTTAGTTGTAAATGAGTTTTTATGTATGATGTCCATAATGCCCTCTAATTTCAAAGTAACAAATTTGAAGGAAAAAGCTACCTCCCTTCACAACAATTCATGAAGAGTAACCCATTCTCATTCGTGAGCGTATTCTTCTCCCACTACTATCAATTTGAAGTTCATTTTTCTTGGCTTTTATTCATCTTCAAATATAGCTAAAGAAAGATCATTTTCCATCTCATGTGTCTTCCTCGTTCAAAAGCACAAATCTCGCTTTGCTAGTTCGGCATGTGAATCTCGTTTTGTTGTAATTGAGTTCGGTCTATGCGACTATAATGCGACTATAGGATTTCATCAAGAAAAAGGAAAATCTTCATCTCCTTAAGCTTAATGCAACAGTGACCACGTTGAACTAGGTAAATGATGAGCTTGTATTGCATCTATTCCTTGTTAATAATTTAATTTGGGATTTCAGTGTCTGTAAGTTGAATAACAAGGCGTGGCTTTTTCTATGAACTCTTTCTGTGGATCATGTTGTGGGTGTTCATTAGTTTTGTATAGCAAATGGATATAGAGGAATCTGGTGCAAGATTAATGTGTTGAAAAATTTCTGTTATAAAATAACATCATATGTTGCCAATAGCTTATATGTGCATTGTTAATATGCTACGCATAGTTGTTAAATTTATTTGATTAAACATCAAAACTTATTCACAACTGAGTCATTTAAGACTTCAGAGTCATTTTTCCATTTCATGGAACCCTTGAATAATTAAATTTCTTTTATGTAACTCAACATTTTCTATCAACTAATTTTTGTCCAAAATATAATTTACTTTGTGAAAAGCCAGTAATATTTAATTCTTTTTCTACAAATACTTTTATTAATCATATTGTAGAGAAATATTACATCCTCTATCTCAATTTATAAAACACTTTTAGATAACATTACATACATCGATAAAGTTCATTAAATATATTTTATGGCCTTACTTTTTAAAAACAAAAATATAAATTTTTAAAAATATCTTTCATTTAATACTTCATTTGTGAAAGAATAATAAAGAGATAATATATGAAAAGAATAATATTAAAAAAAGTATTATTAATAAAATCTTATTTTGTAAAAGTATTTTATATTTTAGAAAGCCGAATCTTCTTCAAAAGTTTCTTTCTTAATTATTATATTAACCTTTAAATGGAAAAATATAGAAGGGAAAAAAGAAAGGTAAAAATATACTGAGTTTATTTGTTAATGTACAAGTTGGAGGATCCTACAAATTGTGCAACAACACTCCTAGTTTTACATGTAAAACTAGTATTTACTCGCTTCTATACCTTTCTCAGGCTAATATTTCAATTTGTTGTGCAGCATCATGATAATACCCCATCTAGCAATCAAGCAATACCACATTTTAGAGATGCAGCAAACGGAGAAGATACAGATCAAGCTCATAAGAGACTGAAAACGTAGAGAATTATTTAGGAGCCTCCATCATCATCTAGAACCTCTACCTTTGCTTCTTCCCTCTGAAATGGGAAATTTATCGAGGTCACTGTACATCCTTTCCTTTGGGCTTCTAGATTTTCACCCATTCATGAAGGTCATTTTAGAACTATAAGTCTTAGTACTCATTGTTATTTGTGGAGATATTGACGTTTCCTAATGTTCCAGGCATGTCATATATTTTCAGATTGATTGGTACATATTATTTACTCAACACTGTTATTGAGCTTTTGGGGGTGGCAGTTTTATCAAATCTTTTAGGATGATGCTCCTTGTGAAGAAGGGAGACTCCTTGTAATGCAGTCTTTCATGATCTCTCCACTGAAAGCAGAGGAAGTTAATTGAATTTCAGAGAATGTCAATTCGGTAATTTTTTTGACGTACTTCAGTTTTAAAGTGAAGTAGTTGCAACTTAATTGAGTTTTCATTCAATTCCATTGGCTTGAAGATGTACCGCCACAATAAAATTTGCCTTGGGTAGATGATTTTGTGCTCATAGTTTCATTAAATGGATAAAACCATTCCTCAATACAAGAAACACTTAAAAAGTCAAATTTGAGGTACATTCAAGCTCAAATTTAAAATACTGTAAGTTGGACATTTAACAGAAAAACTAACTATTGTATTAGTGAGACAGGAGGCAATGTTTTCAATTGTTATCACAGGCATCTTGCAATTGTGAGCAACCAGCTAGATTTGGTAATTCTAGAGAGATCCTTTTTCTTGGCCAACGAAATTGAAGAGTGGTTTGGTCAAATAATTCATTTGAAATACCAATCATCAGACTTGTGCAGTTTCTGAAATTTAATTGGAGGGAGGTGGGTTCAAGTGCAACATGTCTCAATAATCTGATATTTGTTTCTTATTAAGGTTAGGATGAGCTATAATGCTGGTGCATTCAATGCAGTATATATATATATATATATATATTACCAACAGTTAATTTATTTCAGTTTTTTAAAATTTCCAAATAATACTTCTTAATTATATATTCACTCTTTTATTTTTAAATTTATTTTAAATTTTAATACTATTTTTCTTTAAAGATATAAAATGAAACACAAATATGTATAATAAAATTTATATCCTTTTCAGTCATTATACATCTAGATCTTTTTTTGAATTACATAATATAAACATAATTCAATTTGTTAAACCAAGTTTTAAGAAAAAATATCTACATAAACTGTAACATGGGACTAAATGACATAATATCTGCCCCATCAGCTCTAAATCTAGTGTGTTTGCCAAATATATGTGGTTGACTATCTCATTGTAAAATGATGTGTCAAAATTTGAGACACCATAAATAATGTATGATTGGATATAATTATAAAATAAAAATGTTCCATGACAGACGCAAATAGACACAAATATTACACATTAATGTTGTAGCAGACGGGAATATTGATAGAGCTGAATGCAAAGAAAGAGATGTGTTCATATAATGAATACATGATTAAAGCCACATAAGTCTAACATATGACCAACTTAATGTTACTCCCTTGAACCTCAAACTTTGGGCAAATTTGGAACAGCCAGCTAGATTTAGAAATTCAAGAGACCTTTTGCCAAATAATTCATTTGGAATACTCACTAGATTTGTGCAGTTTCTCAAATTCAAAAACTTGATATTTGGAAGAGACGCAATAGAAGGATGAAGCTGCACTAATGAAGTACATCCTTCCAAGTCTAACCTCTCAAGACGTGGAAGCCTTCTAAAATCAGGTATCTTCTTCATATCTTTAGAGCCGCGGAGGTCCAAGCTCCTTAACAGCGGAATATATTTCTGGATAGCAGATCAAGCATTCATCAGAACTTGTTCAAAGACAAAATTTTTAATTGAAACATACAAAAGAATTTTTCACAATCACTAATGTCAATGCAAGTAAGTGTCATAACGACGCTTTGTCATGGGAATATCCTAGTGACAGTGAGACTTTAACACCTCTTGATGAGAAAAATATTGAACAAGAAATATTCTTTGAAAAATTGAAATGAGATATTTAGGGCCTGTTTGTTTCTATTTTATTTTTTGTTTTTAAAAATTGTCTTGCAATATAATTTTTAAAACTGCTTTTTAAAACAATAAAAAAAGAAAAGTATGGTTAATGGTAGTAGCTTATGATAGCAGTTGGTCAAGATGACTGTATTTTTCAATAATCAAACATAATGTATTTTGAAAACAATAAAAATAAAACAAAACAAATTTAAGATATTTCTATATTTCTGTTTTTTAAAACAAAAAATGACAACATTTTTTAAAAACAATTAAATTGAAAACACTTATCCAAACAATTTTTAAATTTTTTTTTGTTTTTTAAAAACAAAAATCAAACAGACCCTTAAATTGTGAAATATAAAATTCTGGTTCACTCAACGAATTAAAAGCAGCATATAACTTTATTGATCACAATCAATTTAGTTTTGATTGATATGAGTGCACAAAAATTATCAATACCTCTTCATCTCTCCACAGTTGTGTTATGCTGCTGTCTGGCATGATCAATTTCACAAGCCATTTTGGCTTAAACTTTGATGGCAAATAATTAAGTGGATACTTATGCCAGGAAAGATATCTCAAGTTGTTAGAAAGATCATCAAGATTTCCTGAAAATTTCACATTGTGGAGTATAAGGATTTTGAGTCTCCTCAATTTTGATAAACCTTCTATGTTCAATGTTGTCCTATGTGGATGCTCTTCATCATTTGAGAGTACTATGATTCGAATACGATTAGTTCCCTGAATAAATATGGATGTATTGCATAAGTAAATATAAAAAGTCGAAACTATCAACTCTAAATATATATATATATATATAAACACAATAAGATAAGATTCTAATTTCTAAAATATAAATATTTTATCTATATAATCTATAAAAAATAATTAAAATCAAATCAATGCAAAGGCTTTGTTGTTATCATAAATTGGGCCATTTGCTAATATAGTTAATTATGTCTACGCTGTCTAAAATGTCATTACTTTCTGTTCACAAGCATCTAGATGGTTTTTTTAAAAAAAAAACAAAATAGAAATGAAATCATTCATAAAGATGATAAGCCAATTATAACATCCTATCAGGGATACAGATTATTCATCAATTGCCTCCTTCATCAATCCAAGGAGGGTTGGTCAAAGATATAATAATGACCCTCTTCTAGATGGGTTTTTAACCATCTCTATCAACTCCTAAATTTAAGGACGGAAGCAATAAGCATGGTCTTTTGCAATAATTTTATCTAAGTTGGGGGATATTTCATGAACTAAACTAACAACTTATATTACTATAGGCGAAATTGATAATTTACTTTTAAGGCTATTAAAGTATGAAGAACTTACAGTATTTGTCTCCATGATATGACGAAAATCTTCATAATTCCATATCCTACTCCGCTTTCCAGGTTCAGGGGATTCATGTTGAACAATTAATTTTGCTAATTGTTGTAGAATACGATGTATTTTTATTCTTTGACTTGATATGTTTATTAGTGACTTTCCTATGAGACTTTCGATTATCATATCACGATAATATCTAGAAAGACATCGACAAAATAAAATTCCCTTGATATAATCAATCTTTTGTCCTGCAAAACAACATGCAATATCCAAGAAAGCATTCTTTTGCCAATCTGTGAGCCCATCAAAACTTTTCTTAAGTACTGCGAGTACTGAAGGGTCAGGAACTGTTTAAAGTTTGGTCAACACACTTTTCCACTCTGAGACACTTAGATCAACAAGCGATGAACCTACTGATTGAATAGCTAATGGAAGGCCATCAGCATATTTAAGTGCTTCCAGGGTCAGCTCCTCATAGCCTGTCATTGGTTTATTACTTTTGAAAACAATTTTGCAGAAAAGTCGAAGAGCTTCATTTTGATTCAAAAGTTCCACCTTGTGAATCTCATCTACTCCAAGATGTCTAAGGAGTCCCTCATCTCTGCTTGTTATGATAATTCTACTTCCTCCTCCAAACAACCATCTAATCCATCCTCCATCATCAAAAGGTTTCGAGTACTCAACATCATCAAAAACAACAAGCATCCTGTGGAGTCTTGGGCTTTTTAAATATTCAAGTTGAAATTCTTTTGGCAAAGCTATCCGAAGAAATGCCTCCTTTAATATGGATTGACTTGGAAGATAAACTTGAGCGGTAGTTGGAGGGGAGATGAAATAGGCAGAATCAAAACGGTGGGAGATTTTGTTAAAGACATCTCCGGCAAGAGCCGTCTTCCCTACTCCCCCCATCCCACTAATCCCTACAACTCGCACATCATCCTTTGAGCCTAAGTCCATGAGCTCAATTAATTTTTCTACACGATGATATCCTATCCCTACTGTAGCTATTTCTCCTGATTTATCTATTTCCCTTGCATGTGCTTCGATGTCATATAGCCTTAGTATCCTGCAGAAGAGAAGAAGAACAAAAGTAATTTAGCAGTTAATTTTTCCTAAGTCCATGAGCTCAATTAATTTTTCTACACGATGATTTCAAATCTTGTTTCTCTGTCCACACACACAAGAAAGGACTGATCAATTTACTCGCAATTTTGTTAAATAATGTTACTTACCGAGCACGCTTTTCACGCAAAATGTTGTCAATATGTTTCTCAAGAATATCACGAATAACCTGAGGCTGATCGCTCCTGAATAAGATGGAAGAAAAGAGAATTAGTCCTACTAACAGAGTGAAAAGATGTCAATTGGATGAAGACGATTGCTAACATGAAATTGAGTGCACATTAAATTTATATAAAATTAACTTATTCCTGCAGAAATAATAACTTTGCTTACTAGGATAAATGTTTAATTTTGTTAAATTAAAAAAATTTCTATGCCAAAGGACGAGTGGATAATTTGGCAGACGAAAGTCAAGAACAAATATATTTCCAAGCTAGGAGCTATTAACAGAAAGAGGACGAAGATCAAATGATAATTAAATCAATCATAGTTTATTCCTTTCTCTACTTCAATTTATCCTTAAAAAGCCTTTCAAAGGAAGAAACTTAAAAAAAAAAAGAAGAAGAGGAAAGAACAGAACAATTAGATAAGAAGGTCTTACTTATCTCGAACCGCCAAAGTTGTTGTTGAACGTCGTAGCACCCAGTTTCCCAAATAACTGCCCCAATATACTTGAAAGAAGTCCGTCTCCAAAAAAAATTGGCAGAAAATTTACACATCCCTTTAAGTTTTCCTCCAAGTAGCGTGCTTGGGCCTCACAATTTTTTGAGAAGATAAAAACATGAAGCTTGTATTTGTTCATGGGAGCTTGAGCAATAGAATCTCGTGAAGCCATAACTACACCATCTGTATGTAGAGCATTGCGAACGTCTTCAACAAATGAGCGATTGTCCTCAGTTATGAAATTCAATACAAACACATCGCAGCTCCATGGCCATATCTCCTTGGACGACGACCCTGCACGTCTCTGGACATCCATTGCGAATCTGAAACCGTAGTTTCTTAGTAATTAACATTCAACCACACTTGCTTCCCAAACCTTTGTGTGATGTAAGGATTAGCACTCGAAGAAGATGTTTGGGTAGTCTAAACATGAGGAAAACCCTCTCTCCTTGAAAGAAAACCTCAATGAGGTATGGAAATCTAACCCCTAGCTAACCTTGCCAAGCAGTCTTTCTAATTAATTATAATGTGTCTGTTTCCTTTGTTCTATTATCCTTTCTTGAAAATGTAAATAAGAGGTTGATTGATTTAAGATTAAAACAAACACAGAAGTTGATCAGAACAGTAATATTTCATACCCAACAAACTATAAAGAACTTAACAGAATGTAACTTACGTCTCTTCGACCAAAAATTTCTTTGCCTCTGCAACTATTTTGCCAATAACTCGTCTTTGATCTTCCCTGGAGAAAACAAGAGAAAAATAACACAAAATAAAAAAAATACTATTACGCAAAACGTAAGCAACTATAATTAACTCCTGATAAATAACATAGAGGTTCAGTAAGTCTATTTCAAATCAATGTACTTGCGCTCAAACGGTACTTTCCTATAAGGTAAGCATCCCTGAATCATATCAAGTACAAGCAAGAATATAATGGTACTCTTGTCAACCGATAGGAAAATTGAAAGAGGGTATATTATGATTCGCTTGGGTAAATTTTGTCCAGAATTATATGAAGAAAAACTATAGTTCCTTGATTAAAAAAAAACTTGGGGATATAAAAACTTATGTTCTATCAAGCATAAGAATGAGTATCATCAATATAAAATATAAAACTTATGATTACTCATATTATTAATAAGTCATTAATAGTGGGTAACAATTCAAATTCCTTACGTTTTTTGTTTGAGTTATGCATCTAGCTCAGAGTTTTTTTTTTTTTTAATGTTAATACAGTATCAAAAAGTCCCTTGATAATTTACAATTGTGTTTTAACCTTGATCTTGAGGTTACATGCTTTTCAAAACGTTCTGAATAGCTAGAAAACGACAACAATGATAAAAAGAGTAAATGGTCGTATATAAAATTAGAATTTCATTGAAATAGAAGAGATGTGAGTAAACATGTAATTAACAGAAAGGTTTTAATATATTGCTTCTTCCCTCTGTGTCTATTACTCCCAGATCCAAAAATATATTGTGAAGGATTTAATCAGTTGGTTGAACATGGATTAGAAGATGAAAAAGATAAAGAGATGTGAACAATCAGATCCATATCCAACAACATATAAACGAACAGAGCATCAATTATTACTTACGAGTTTTGTATGACCAAATTTGGGCGTTGATCCAGCAGTGTCTGAAATGGAGCTAGCCATGTTTTCACTGTAGACGGATCGACGTTGAAGAAAATTGGCAGAAATTGGTGGCCTGGTGCCATCATACACTCAAACATTACTGCTAGTTTGTCCAAGCAACTTGGGGAGAAAGCATATCTAGGTGAGAAGACAACTATATAAATATGCGACTCTTCAATTATTTCAAATGGCTTAGGCAATAAGCTCCTGCCGATTCTAAAACCTTCTTTTGCTAAAGCATTCCAAAGAATTTTATAAAACCAGTGAGCTTCCATATTATTGTAACTTATGGCCACATCATATTTCCAGATCCTCTTTGAAGAAGAAGAAGTAGAAGAAGAAACTCTGCTCTGGTAATCCATTGGTAAAGGCCACACGGAATTCACTGCGACATAAATAATCAATAAATATCAACAAAAAGTGGGAGCCAGGCAATAGCATTAAAAATTACAAAATTAGACATATCGGGTCCAGTGACTGTTGTTCCCCCCTTCGTCCCTGGGGTTCTGTATGGTGTGAACGCATTGACTCTGACTTCAATTTATGAAATAATTTTAAAGGTACTTTGAATTAAAAAAAGATTTTAAAAATTTTAATAAATAATAAAAATATATATTATACTACCTAGCCTAATAAAGTTAAAAGTTCTGTGATGCAGTATGAATGAATTTTCTGAGAATCTGTAAATTTTATTGCAGTTTTATTCTTTTAAAGAATAGATAGAAGATATTATATTTTATAAAAAATAATAAAATATAGAAAATATCTTATGAAATTATATCGATATCAACTTCCGGGAATTTGTTCCCGTGATGATACGCTTGGCCCTTAAATATTAACAAGTCTTGAGTTATTTTCCTATTATTTCCTTAATGTTAACACCTTTTGTCCTGCTTTACAAGGCATTTTTATAACAAAATTTGTAAATACCAATAAAATCAATTAATGAAGTAAAGTTTAGAATTTTAATTTCTCCGTGAACTTCTGAAAATACTTTTTATTTAACAAGAGAAAGAGACGAAAATACATTTAAGGGGTGAAATAAAGATCAAATCAAAAGGAGTAAAATCATGAGAGATAATTTTAAAATAAATTTTATTAATAAATTATTTTAAATATCTTATATTCTAAAATATTAAATTACTTCAAAAACTTATAAAACAGAATAGCGATAGCATAGCTAATTAATAGTTCTTGTTTGTTCATTGGCAAAATTATTGGGTGTGACTTTTTAAAATTATGGTTTCCTTATCATATGCTGCGAGTAAAATCATGCAGGCTTTCTTTTTGGAGGTTCATTGGTTTTTGCTTGCTAGTCATTAATTAATTCCATTATCCTTATTTCATGCCCATGATTTATGGCTGCATAAAGGACTGACTCAATAGGACTTTGGTCTAACCCGAAGTTTGATCCTATTCATGAAAAGGCTTGAGTGAAGAAACTTGAGATCTAATTTGATCCTAGTATAACCAGTAGGACTAGGAGACTGGTCCTAATCTTGTCCAACATCTCACTTTTTTTTAATCTATGAGTGGTAGCAATTTATTTCAATATAATAAACTCAATTAACATAATTAAGTTATTTATAATTGCATAAAATTTATCACAACAACAACAATAATAAATCCACAATAATCTTCAACAATAACAAAAAGTATTTCAGTTACAACACAAATTATTCAAATTAAACAACCTTCAATAACATTAAACAACCTTTAACATGTCTAAAGTCCATCACACTAAGTTAACAACAAATTCCACCAATAAATTTCACTAATAAAAGGAGAAGATTGGGGTTGGTCAATGCTAGAATATTGTTCAATATTTATGACTTCACAAATATAAAACACAAAAAATACTAATTATTATTATAAATTAACTTATTGTTATAATAATTAATAAATTAATTATAATTATATTAAATAAATTTATGGGACTAGACCAATTGGTCCAAATGCTCAGCCTTTTGTCCAGTCCAACCCAAAGAAAAAGTTTGGTATTTTTTGTCTTTTTAGTCCTAAAAGACTAATTTTTATCTAGACTAGACATGAATGAGTTTGTCTCGAATTGAATTGGATTGGATCGAATTGAAAGACTTTTGTATAGCCCTACCATGATTTATTTCTCGTACGCGTCAACTATGCCATTCCGCTAAAGCAGCCCATTATTTTAATTTTGATCACTAAAACATCCTGTTATTGATGCTAAGTGCTGACTTCAAGTCTACCATGCAATTGCCTTCTCAATTTCAACTAGTCCCCACATTAAGGCTTCTTTTTTTTTTAAAAAAAAATACTGGATAACATTACTCAAAAGGAGTACAAATCAGGTCTCAAGAGCTGCACGTTTCTCATCATCATTCACCACCTCAATATAATAAGGTGGGGGTTGATCATATAAGCAAAAAAGACCAATACTCTGACCGTATCTACACTGAAAGTCACCCTTATTTTGACACTATCAAGAAGATCAGAGATCTTGTTATGAAAGATTGGATAGTCACCTTTGATCATGTTCATAGAGAAGCTAACAGATGTGTT